TTCTCCCTCTGCCCCCCGCCCCGTGTTCTCTCTCTCTGTCTCTCAAATAAATAAATAAAATCTTAAAAAAACAAAATTGAGCCATTCCAGCAAAGGTGTCGTGGTCGCTCACTGTGGATTTATTTACCTTGCATTTCCCTAACAACTACTGATGTTGACCAAACTGAGCATCTTTTGCCATGCTTGCTTGTAATCCATTTCTTAGATTGGGTTGGTGGCTTTCCTGCTGTCAAGTTGCAAGAGTTCTTTATATATTCTAGATACAAGTCCTTGGCCAAATAGGAGATGTGGAAACACCTTCTCCAAGTCTGTAGCTTATCTCTGTTTTCCTTAGCAGTGTCTTCTGCAGAGCAAATATCTTTAATTTTGATAAAGTCCAGTTTGTCAATTTCTTCCTCTCACTGATTGAGCTTGTAGCATTGTACTTCAAAACTCATTGCCGAATCCAAGGTCCAGAGATATTCTTCTGTGTCTTCCTCAAGAAATTTTATATTTTGTTTCTTACGTTAGTTTCTTAAGATTGCGCACAGTACTTTTACACTTCCAGATTGTTGGTGAATGCCCAGAATGTTAGGCATAAATGTTAAATGCATTAAAATTTACATACACAACATTCATACATTTATATCACAAGTAAATTTAAGAGGCAGTTATGTTCCTTTGAAGTGGGAAAATCTTCCTTTAACATAAAGCAAAAGATAGGTATATCACTGTAGACACATAAAACATTTTCTATGATAAACACAACCACACTCAAAGGCTAAAAGATCAAAGATAGACTGGGGAAGATTTCTCTACCTTACATGACAAAGGGTTAATATCTTTAATTGGTAAACAATTCCTACAAGTTGACAAGTAGAAATGAGCAAAAGATATGAACAGGCAATTCAGTTCTGCAAGAGGAAGTCCAAACGGCCTCCAAGCCACAAAAGGCCTTCAGCATAAAAGGAAAAAAATAAAAGCACCCTTGTCTTCCTCCGTGCCTGGCGGGCCCTGGGAAGGGCACCAGCAGCTGCTGTGGGCATGGACGTGGGCTAGCGGTCACATTCATACACTGCTGGTGAAGTCTGAATTGCTACAGCTTCTTGGGAAAACACTTCCAATTACCTGGGAAGCACCCTCACACCTGACCCCAGTGTCAGGTTTTCTTACAAATGGGTGGCGTGTTGGGGCACCTGGGTGGCTCAGTCGTTAAGCATCTGCCTTTGGCTCAGGTCGTGATCCCAGGGTCCTGGGATCGAGCCCCGCATCAGGCTCCCTGCTCCGTGGGAAGCCTGCTTCTCCCTCTCCTGCTCCCCCTGCTTGTGTTCCCTCTCTCGCTGTGTCTCTCTCTGTCAAATAAATAAATAAAATCTTTAAAAAACTAACCAACAAAAAAAAAACAAATGGGTGGCACATCATCGCCTCAAAGCAGTGGCTTAAAGCCAGGGGAGCCTCAGCAACCATCCACCACGGAGTGGCTGAGTGAACTGTGGCAGACGTAAGCCACGGACGATTGTCCCAACTACCAAAGCATAGTTCCCCATCTGTACATCTGTAGAAAGTTGAGATGAGCATGCTGCAGCGTGATGGGGGCAGAGCAGACACATGCATATATAAAAAAGAGAGTCTCACCTGGTGTCAGCTATACGATGAGCAGAGAGCGATGAGCTAGGAATCCACTGGGCAGTTGACACAGATGACCTTGGAGGAGGCGGGCCTTCGTGAATCTTTGAGTTGGTGCACTTTTTACAATGAGAACTCCTTTCACGATAAAATCTTTAAATGGGGAAAAGAAAAATCAGTCCGCGTTGAATATCTGGGGACTGGTAGGTATTCTTATCAGCCCTGAGCACCGGCACCAGATTGTCGGGGGCGGGCCCGGGAACCTGAGTGTGACATGGGTCTGTTGGGGTGAGGTAGTTCGGTGCTTCCCTTGGGGTCTGGGTGGCCAGTGTGGCCCTGTGGCCTGAACGGGGGCCGGGGGCTCCAGGGCTGCCCCCTCCCTCCCAGGCTTGTGGCTCCTTGTGGGCAGGAGACCACCTTGGGTCTTCACTGATACAAGGCCCTCTGTCTGCACGAGGGTGATGGCACCGTGGCGGAAGTCAGGGTCTCTCAGCAGACCTGTGTTTATCAGCTGCGTTTTACTGTTGACCTGAGTGTCAGCTGTGAATCCGGGGACAGGCCTGGACACCTGAGCTCAGCCCAGGCAGTCCTCCCCCTGGGAAGGGGTCACGGGCCTTTGAGGCCTCAGGCACGTGGGGGCCATTTTAACCCGCTGGCCCCGCAGATCCTCAGGGCGGAAGCTTCAGGAACCATCCTCACTCCTCACCCAGCTCTGCGGGTGTATGTCTTGTCAGTTTGGGGGAAGCTCTGGGCATGCAAGTCTGTTCCCCCCGCCCCCCCCCGCTGGGGTGGCTGGTTGGGGTGGGCGTCTGAGCCCAGCTCTGGGCCGCCCTGGGCCCCATCAAGCCTTCCATGGAGGCCTCACGTGCTGCCCCATGCCTTTCCCCACAGTGAAGAAGAGCCCCATGCTGCTAGAGGTGAGCACAGCCCACTTCATGAGAACCAACAGCTTTGCCGAGGACCTGGACCTGGAGGGGGAGACGCTGCTGGCGCCCATCACCCACGTGTCACAGTGAGTGTCCGCCTGCCCAGGCTGGAGGGACACGGGGCTCCGAGGGGTCGCCTCGGTGCTGGCCCGGGGCTCGGGCCTGCTCACGCGGGGCCCACCACCACTTGCCGCCTGCCCTCAGCGACCGGGGGCCATCCACCCGCTGCCAGGGGCCGGACCCAGTGCCCGGGCACCAGGCGGGGAGGAGAGCAGGGGCATTTCCCGCCAAGTCTGGGAACATGATCCTCTTGTTTTGACTTATGGAAAACCAAACTGATCATTTTCCACTTGTTTTTGTGCCTCGAGCGTCTGAGGAGATTGTTTTTCTCTCCCCTCGCCCCCACCCCCACCCCCCAAAAAAGAGACGACTTTGTTTTTCAGCATTTCCCTGTAGAAGCCCGGCCAGAGCCGCGGGGCAGATGCCGAGCGCTGTCTGCCAGTGGCCTCTGCTGTCCTCAGGGGCTCCTTCAGGTGGAGGAAATGGCTGATTTTCCACGCCTTCCAGTTGGCCTTCCCCCGAGGCCCAGCTGGCCTGGGACGCACGCCCGTCCTCCCCCGCCGTCGCAGCCCTGCCAGGCCAGTCCCCAGGGCCCGGCCGTGGTGTGATTCCCTTGCGAGGGATGAGTCAGTGCTCCCAGCAGGGGCACCCAGTGGTGACGGCGAGCGGTGGGGTCAGTGGGGCACTGGGGCCCATTCTGGCCGCCGCCCCACGGGGGATTCCCCCGGACGGTGTTCCGGTGTGAGGGCGTGCGCTCCTCTCGGCCCTCCCCCAGCTCACTTGCTGACACGGTTGCGTCTCCACGCACACATGGAGAGGTCCCGGAAGGGCGTTCGCCTTCCTCCGGGGGTCTTCGCGTTGTCCTGAGCCGTGGGCGCCTCCGTCTGGGTGAGGCCCTGGGCCGTTGCCTCGCAGGTGTCCGAGGAAGCGGGGACCCAGGTCGGGGGGCCTCCCGGCTGCTCAGACAGCACTGGTGGAGTCTCGTAGCCAGACTGAGAGAGAGACGGGACCGTCTCGGGCTGGTCCTGTGACCAGGCAGGACCCGCCGGCCAGCTTTCCAGGCCCCCCAGGCTCATGGGGAAGTGGGCAGCACCCCGTGGCTGGCAGGGTGCCCCCAGGAAGTGCTCCCTGGCTTGGTGGGAGCCGGCCGGCTCACCAGGAAGCAGGGGCGACTCATGCTCGTGGACGCGGCGCGAGTGGGCTGCAGGGCCCCCATCGGTCCTGGAGATGACCAGACAGGCTTGCTGGAGAAGGGGGCGGGAGCAGAGATGTGAGCAGCCGGGCGGGCGGGCAGGCCGGTGCCTGAAGGCAGAATGCTGGCTTGCCGCTTTGGCGGAGGCCTTCACGGAGTCCAGGGCACGAGAGAGACCACGGAGTGGTAACAGTTGGGAGTTCTGTGGCTGGTGTTCCGAGCAACACAGGTGCAGAGCCTGCTCAGAGCCTGCCGGGACCCGCAACCCTCGGGCAGGTGGACCCCCCACCCCAGGCCTCCCTGGGCCTGCTGCCCCTTCCTGTACCCCCAGCCCCTCTCCTCCCGTTGGAGCCTCTTCTCCTTTGTTCTCTCGGCCGTGACCGTGGCCCAGCCCCTCGAACACACACACACACGAGGAGTCCCACCGGTCAGGACGGGGCCACCACCCACCATCCACACAGCTGGGTGGTGACGCCTCACAGGCTCTCTGGCCCTGCAAGACTGGCTGGGGGAGGTTTCCTTGGTCACCCCCAGTGCTGCCTGGGCCCGAACCCAAGTCTTCAGCCAGGTCCCCATGCTAGAACCTACAATGGCTTCTCCCAGCAGACCTGTCCAGAGGTGGTGGCTGGGCGTGAACCAGCTGGGGGGACAGGAAGGTGTCCAGGCATGGTACTTGGGTCTGTGGCAGGGGCTGGGAGCAGGGAGACTGAGGTCAAGGCACTGTGGTCGGTCAGGGCAGGGTCAAGGGGAGCTGGCAGGGGACCTGCACAGACATGTCCTTGGCACAGGGAACCGTGCCTCAGGCGGCCCCACTGGGGAGAGTGGGATGGACACTCAGGGAGAGGTGCTGGGGCCTCAGGACCGAGGCGCCCCCAGGGCCACGAGCTGGGCAGAGGCCCCACCCCACCATGGCTGGAAGAGGAGGTGGCTCTGGTGGGCGTGTTTATTCAGGGCTGCGCCCGCCCTGTGCACCCACCCTGTGCGCCTGCTCTGGGGCTGTGCGTCTTCACCTCCCGCCCGGCGCTCCTGGTGATCCGTGCCCCTGATTAAACTTGGCTCCGGTTGCTCAGGGCCACGTCGACGCTCCTGCGAGCCGCCTGGCCCCGTGGACCCCGCACAGGGCTGTCCCCTGCCCTGGTGTGTGCACGGGGGATGGGGATGTGCACGGGGGTCTCGCAAGGGGCAGAGGGGGTGGGAAGCAGTTACTGAAAAACAGATTCATTTTTCTTCAGCATTTTACTGAGGTTAAGTGTATTACCACGTTGGGTCAGTTCCAGAATTCAAATTAAAAGCATAAATAAAGACACATTTTGTTTCCATCTCAAGCTCTCCCCACCCGCTGGGCCCCAGGGAGGTGAGGTCACTGCAGCCTTGATTACGGGAAGGTCCCTGGGGCTGGGCGAAGCTCCTCTTTCCGGGGCCTGCTGGCCATTGGTGGGGTGAGGGGTGGGGGGGTTGGGGGCCGGTGAGCAAACCGGGTGCAAACTAGGGAGTCGCCGGGACACCGTGGGTCGGGGAGGCAGAGTGGTCTGGGCCGCACAAGCAAGCCCCAGCGTCCCCATGCAGCCCTGGGGCCGTCGCCCAGCTCCAGGGGGCTGGGCCGCAGTCTCACACACATACCTTCCAGGAGCCCCTGTCTGCCTCGAGCTCTCTGCACCTGTGTCCCCCCGACCCAGAGCCTTGCCACAGGGCTTCCAAGGGGCAAGTGTAAGGTAGAGACGGGGTATCTAGGAGAGGAGGAGAGCCCTGCGCCCCAACAGGAGCTGGGATGAGTTTCTGGCCTCCTGCCCCACCCACTGCCTTCTGCCCACTGAGGGCCACCGGCGGGACAGTGGGAAGGGAGGGCCACCTCTGTGTGCATCCCTGTGCCTTGCACGTGGTGTCCCCATCTGAAACCGCCTTGTCCCTCATCGGCAGCCATCAGATTCCTTCTCCATCGTCCTCGCCCCAGGGAGGCCACGTCCTCCTCTGGCTGTCAGGGCTTCCGTACCAGCTCCCTGAGCCCTCAGTCAGGGCCCCAAGAGCAGGGTATGCGTGGCTCTTCTCAGGCTCCCCCTCCCTGGCACTCCTGAAGCCCCCGGCTGGAAGGAGCTCCAGGACTGTGGCTCCCGCCCCAAGGCAGGCCGGACCCCCCGCCCCCAGGGCCAGGCCGGCCTCCCCTGAGACGAGGCGGTGAGGGCCGTGGGGCCTCGGCAGGGATGTTAGCATGGAGGGCAGCGGGCGGCTGGTCAGAACTGGCCTCCGCATGGGGATCTGTGGCTCTGATTGGGCCTGGGTACCCTTGTCCCAGCAGCCTTGGGAAACGGCCCCCCACGCCTCGCCCAGCTGCCACGACAGCCAGGCCTGGCCAGGAGTCCACATCCATCCCATTGGGTGCATGTGGGCCCCCCAGGCAGGTGGTGTGAGAGGTCAGGCCCACCACAAACACCTCGGCCTGGGGTTCCCCTGAAGGGTTCCTCCATCTCCCTGTTGAGGCTGGACGAGGCTCTGCTTCTGCTTACCAGCCGCCCCCTCCCTGCCCTGCTCTGCAGGGGGCGGGGGGGCACAGCCCAACGCCCTGTGCATCTACGTGGGCATGGGGAGGGCCGCGGGCAGAGGGAAGGCAGGGCCGGGGCTGGGGAACCGTGGGCCCCCACCAGGTGACCGTGAGCACCTCCCCAGCAACCGTGGGCCTCTGGGCCTTCTGTGACAGGACAGCCCGTAGATCCTTGAGCAAAACCAGCCCCGTGTGCGTTAATTAGAATTTCCATGTCTCCAACTTTCTCCTGGACCCTGCGGAGTCTCATGCCAAAACGCTCAAGTGTCTCTCTTCCAGCAAGGCCGCTGCGGCCTGGCTTTCGTCCACATCACTACTAATGTCTCCTGAATTCTGCGTTTGTCAGTGAGGCCATGGCCAGCCCCATGCCTTCTGGAAACGGGGGCAAATGTCACAAGGCTCGGCCCTGCGCTCGGCTCTGTGGACTAGCTCTCTGGATGGGACCAGCTCAGCTGGGGATGTTTCGGGGACCCTGGGGCCAGCTGCAAATGACTCCCATGGACTGCAGAGACGCCAGGCACTGCACCTCTTCGAGCAGCCATGCTCCTTGCTTTATTTCTCGCCCTGCAAACTTTGGTGGGAAAGGATGAAAAAGCCACTTCGGGGCTAGCATCCAGGGGGATGAAGGAGGGGGCTTGCCAGGAACAGATGAGACCAGTTTGTCTTTTCCAGACCGGTGTCCTGTCTTCTTCGGAGCTCCAGACCACCTCTGTCTGCACGAGGTGCCAAGGAAGCCCCGTGGGAGCCCGCCCGGGAGTGCTGTGCAGGGCTGCGTGAGTCACAGGCCCCGTCAGAGCCTCCCAGCCCCGGCCAGCTCCAACCCGTCTCTGAAATGCACGGGGGGATTAAATGTTCTCCTAATTAAATTAAAAGCGAGGCGGAGTGGCTCAGTGGGAAAGAGACGGGACTGGGAATCAGATGCCCTCAATCTGGCTCTCAGCCTGCATCGGCCCAGCTGCAGGCCGGCCCCGGAGGCCCCCTAACCTCTGGGAGCCTCACTTCCTCCATCTGAGCACGTGAGGAGAATGCAGCCGGCCTCCTGAGGCCAGCGCTCCGGGCAGTGGGCCCTCGGTCCAGGTAGAAGGCCCGGAGGAGGGCGGGAGGCCTCTTACTTCCTCGGCGGCCATGACAGTAACTCCTGGTCTGGGGGCGCCCCAGTGGCTGGACTCAGGTCTCTCCACGGCAGGTCTTGGGCAAGGCTGGCCGGCACCTGGCAGGCAATGTTGGCGGGTGTGAGGGACAGCTTCACAGATGGCGCTGGGGTTGCCACGGAGACATTTCTGGTGGTCGCAGGTCCCCCGTGGGCCCAAACGTAGAAGGGGAGGCTGAGCCCGAGGGCAGCGTGGTCAGGAGGCCTGAGTGGGAGGTCAGGCCCGGCCGCTCTCCAGGCCTGGGTTGTCCAGCTCTCAAGTTAGGCCCAGAGAGGTCCGAACTTGCATACAGGGTGCTTCCAACATTCCAGTTGAGGGATGACGCGCACACACGAGCGCACAGATCTCGAGAGCACTTGGTACGTCTCAGCATGGGCCACATATAACTAGCACCCAGACAGAGGGGTCCCGGGCAAGCCCCTGTGTGCCCACTTCCGGTCACGCCTTTGCCCAGTCACCGCCGTCTCGGCTTCTGGCAGCAGGACTCGGCGTTGCCCGTTCTTGAACCCTCGACAGACAGACGCCCCCGGCAGCACACCTGTGTGTCCGTCTGGCTTCCCGGGAGACGTGCCCACGTGGCTGTGCAGAGCAGCGCTTCACGCGCTCCGGGTGGCTGGCCCGCCACCGTGTGAACGGCCTACACTTTGTTTATCCGTTCTATTGTCGACCGCTTCCAGCGCCGGGTTGTTAACATTAGTGCTAAGAATATCCTGTGCAGGCTCTCTGGCGAACATACAGGCTGCGTTTCCGGCGCGCGTCTGCCTAGGTGTGGGGCCGCCGGGCTGCTGGACGGGCGCGCTTACTGCCCCCAAGTCCTGCCGAGCAGCGTCCCCGTGGGCGCAGCCGCTCCGCCCCCGCCGCCCGGGCCTGGGCCTCCCCGCACCCGGCCCTCCTGCGGCGCTCCCTCTCGGCCTGGCCGGGGCGGGATCTGGCGGCGGTGGATCGGGATCTTCGTCCACAGGAACCCGACGGCCCAGGCAGCTGAGCCCCTCCCCGTGTTGCTACTTGGTTGGATATTGTCCTTTGTAAAAATGCTCGTGACTTCTTTTCTTACTGATGTACACTTGTTCTTTCTGTCTGCCTTCCCGTGTCCTGGCGAGGGCTTGCGAGGGGCAGAAACGATCGTGCTCCCACGTGCCCACACACACACGCGTGCTTCCCTAGCACAGAACCACCGGCTCCCCCCCAGCGGGCCGTTCCTCCCGAGAGGGGCGTCTTTTGACGAACAGAAGAACTTTAAGTGAACTCTTAATGTGATCCAGTTAATCAAACATTTCCTTTCTGGATAGTGCTGTTTGTATCCTATTAAAGAAGCTTTGACTACTCCAAGGTCATAAAGATATTCTGGTTTTTTAAAGCTTTATTAGCTCACCTTTCACATGTAGATCCGTGGTCCATCTGGAATCGATTTTTGCATCCAATGTGAGGCTGAGGTCAAGGTACATTTTCTCCCCCTTGGTTATGCAGGCTGGCTCAGCACCCTTCATGGAGAAGGCCGACCTCCCTCCGCCGTCCTGCCAGCTCCCCGCCATCCCACTCCAGCCCGCGGTCCATGCGTAGCTCTGGTTCGTTCCACTGCTCAGACCGTGTCCTTTCTGCCAGGGCCTTGCTTCCTTGCGACTGGTGTTTGATAACAGGTCCGGACAGCCGGTTGAGAAGGCTCTGGCCAGGTCCCCTGCCTCGCAACTGGCCTGTCTCTGTGGGGTCCACCTCTGCCCCCATGGCCAGCGTCCACAGAAAGCCTCCTCTCCCTAGATGAGGATGGGGACAGCGAATGTCTTCACAACGGTGGGTCAATAGTGGGTCTTGGTAGCCGTGGCCTCCCCGCGCCCCCCGCGTTCCTTACTGTGTCCTGCAGCCTTCAGTGCCGTGGTCGCGTGCAGCTGATCTGACACTTAGCCTCATCCGCTGATGTTCCGGCGTTCGCCAAGCCCATGGACGTGCTCTTCCTGGGAACCCTGGCCGGCGTGGATCCACCCGTCCGGCCTGGAGAGCGCTGGGGTGGTCAGCTCGCCTTTCCGAGCCTTGGCGTTCTCTCATGGATCCCGGAAATGGGCCTGGCGGTGCAGCAGTGAGCCCTTGAGGTTGTGGGGTCGGGGCTCTGGCCCTGCACCTAATTCGAGAACTGTGTTAGCTGGTAGGAGACATCACCTTGGTAGGGGAGACCCCATGGGCACATCCCTTACTTGACCTGAGAGCTTCTGGAAGCCCCCGGTCACAGGTCTCCATGGGATGCGGATGGGGCGCGTGTGCAGCCTGGAGGTCCTGTCCTTCACAAGATCTGCCCGGAGGCCTCTGAGCCCAGGGCCTGGATGCGGGCCGCAGGCAGGCGCACAGCCCACAGCCTCTGGTGGTGAGGAAAGGGGCTCCGGCCCCCCGGGGTGGTGCGGGGAGAGACCTGGGCCCCTCTGCCCTGCTCTTCACGTGCCCCAACGTGCATCTGCCATCGTTCTCAACCGTCAGGCCTACCCGCCAAGGCAGCATGGCCTCCAGCAGAGCGAGGGGCGGCGTGGGCCAGACGTCCTGCCTACCCTTGGCCCCGTGCGCGGCAGGGGATGGAGGCGCTGACGTAGCCCCGTTATCCGGGGCAGCTCCCTGGGCGGCGTAGCCGGGGCGGCCGTGTTCACAGGCTCGCTGGCCACCAGGTGCTCCCGAGAGGCTGCATGTGTGTGTCAGGTTTGGGAGGGGGCTGGGACACACAGCTCGTGTAGTGGGGGGTCCGTGCTGCACAGAAGGGCCAGGCCTTGCCTGGTCCCCCGTGAGGCAGGGGCAGAGCCGGGGCTCAGTCCCAGACGCACCGTCTCCCGGGGGGCCCGGGGCTGTGAGGGGGAAGCCAGGCTGGCTCCCAGAGGGCGGGCGGGCGGGCAGGGAGGTCGCCAGCCAGCCGAGGCAAAGGGGCCTGGCATCTGGTTTGGGTCTGTGCCTCCCAAAGTGTTTCTGTGGCCCGTCAGCAGGAGAGGACAGTGCGCGGACGGACACTCTGCTTTGGTTGATGGGCTCTTTGTGGCCACCTTCTCCAAGAATTCGTCACGTTCAGTCTCTGCACACACCCTGGACCTGGCGCCACCGCGCGCGGAGTGCGAGGGGCCTCGCAACCGGCAGGCCGCTCGGGGGGCCCCCAGCTCCCCTGGGAGGCTGACCGGCTTGTGCAGGACTCAGAGCGGCAGGCCGAGCTTCCTGGCTTCTAGGGGTGACCCAGAGCCCCCGGTCGGGCGGTCGTCCTCTACATGTGCTAGTCCTCTTGGGACCAGGCGGGTGTCCTGGGCTCGGGCCACCCCTTAGGTGCTGGTCCTTGGCAGTGACTGGCTCCAGGGCGGAGGTCTGACGGTTCAGTCTGTCGGGTCTGGCTGGCCCATGGGAGGCCTGGGGCGCCATCTGGGAAGGGGAAGGAAAAGAGGCAGAGGCAGAGGGAGACCCGAGTCCGGCCTCAGAGGCTGGCGTCCCCGGCATCCCTGTCAGCCCCACACCCTTACCCCGAGCCCGCGTCTGCTTTGATCATCACAGCAGCCCCAGGGGCTCCCTTTAAAGCCTGTGTTGGGGAGCAGCCTCTACAGGAGCGGGGACACCCTCCATGTGCGCCCAGAACTGCTCCCACTTCAGTGGGCTCGAGCCACACACAGCTCTGGGAACCTTGTTTTTCAGAGGCAGTTGAAGGGATTTCCTACCTGATCTGTCTTCTGGAACTGAACCATCATACAAGATCAGACTAGGCTGCTAGTAACACTTGCCACGACACTGTTCTCCGCCGCCCTGCTAGGGAAACTGAGGCAGAGGGTGGGGTGACGTCACAGGCAGTAGAGGACATGTGGAAAACGGTGGGAGGAAGGCTGTTCTGAGAGACCGCGCTCAGGGCCCTTCCCCCTGCCTTAGACGCGGCCCCTGGAGCGGAGGTGGGCAGCGCCCAGCAGCCAACCCCGGGGCCGCCGGTTTCATTCCTCTGGCAGCCGGGCGCTGCATCTAGGGTATGAAGTGCAAGGCGAGATCACGCTGGGACCTTTGGCTTCAAGCCTGTGAACCTGCTCTAGGCTTGTCTCCCGGGCCCTGCCCGGGCTGCGATGGGGCCCCCTGTCATCCACTCCCCGGCCGGGATCCAGCAGCCACCCTCGGGCCCGGGGGCGCCCTCCTGCCTTCCCCTCCTCTTGGGCCTTTCGGCCTTGGTCTTGTGGTTGTGTTATCCTTAGGTTCTGGATTTGTCAAGTCAAATGGAATAGTCTCCCAGTTTAAAACACTGGAATGCTTTTTTTTTCTGCTTTTCTTCTTGAACTGCCCCGTGGAACCCCCGGCTGGGTGGGTGGGCTCCAGGTGGGAGCTCACGGGGGCCTGGCTGCGAGGCGAGGCCACTGCAGGAGCAGGGGGGCAGACTCACGAGGTGGGACAGCCTTAGGTGGAGCGACGCCCCAGAAAACGGGCTCCAGGCGTGATTGAGCTCAGGCCAGTGGGTGTGTGTAGGGACTGGGGTGGGGCCATCCGCAGAGGTTCAGAGGACTTCACTGGAGTGTCCTCCCCAGTGACCCCCACAGCCCACAGCAGCTCCCTGCTTACAGCTCTCCACCGCCCACCCCTGTCCTGCACTGGAAATGGGCTGCATCAGACCAGGGGCCGGCGTTTGGGATGGGAAGGTATCTCTGTAGGTGTTGGGAGATGGACAGCCTAGGAAGTGGGGGCCCCAACACCAGAGATAAGGGGACCCTGCCCAGAGGCCACGCCAGCCACTGACAGCTGGGGCCAGGCCCTGGGGCTCCTGACTCCGAATCCCATGCTCCTTTGCGTTTCCAGCGGGGCCTGTCTGCTCTAGGGGGACCTGCACTGCACCCCACAGCAGGCCCCGGCCCCCTGGCTACTAGGATAGCAGCAGGAGCACGTCCTCGAGGCCCCGGTCGTGACCGTAGCCTGCTCCTTAGCCTGCTGTTTCTCGCACGCCAGGCCCTCCCCAAGGGATGCAGGAAGAGTGTCGCCGCAGCTAAGACTACTGCGGGCCATGCTTGGAAGGAGGGGCTGGTAGGGTCACGGCATTACATAAACACTGAACTGCAAGGTCTGAGCTGGCCAGAAGGGACAGTGAAGGTGGCCTCTCAGGCCACGGCAGGACCTCACGGCACTCAGCCAGAGACCCCGGTGGGCAAGAGCAGGGCGAGGGTGCCACCACCCCCCAGCTCAGGAGGATCAGAGCAGCCCCGAGCAAGGACAGGAGCCCAAGCAGAGACCCCAGGCCCGGGTGGCAAAGCCGCAGCCTCCTCCCCAGGCAGAAAGGCCAGGCCCCGGGAGCCCCTGCTTCCTGTACCAGGCCTCCCTGGGCACTGAGCACCTGAGAAGCCATGAGTGCTCCTGCCCATCTCGGTCCTCATTGACTCCGATGACCTGCAGGAGGATCACACTTCCCACCTGCTGCTCCCTGGCCACTGGGGTCAAAGAGAAGCTAAGCGTGACCGGCCTGTCCACCGTGTGTGGCTGATCATGGACTTGTCTCATTTACTGGGCTGATGTTGGTCTCTGCCTGTAAATGTTTAACTCCCAAGGATGCCAGATCTCAGGGCTTGAAGGCCCAGCCTGGACGGGGACAGTGCTTCTTCCTGGTGTGTGGGGGTCGTCTGCAGCCAGGAGGGTGCAGGTGGGCTATGAAGAGGGACTTCCTGCAGGGAGCTTGGCCCCGGGGGGTGCTGCTCGGGGAGTAAGTACTGTCTTCTCCCACCATAGCTGAGCGGAGACCACGGGTGGGATGCCCAGCCCTGAGGGCCCCTCGGTGGTTTCCGGCTGCCTTGGGCCTGGGGTGCGGCCCCCTCACTTGTACTTGGTGGCTGCCCCATGAGGGCCTGGCCTCGGTCTCCCCGCTGGTGGGGAGGGAGGTGTAGAAGCTGGGTTGTGGGGCCACCCAGTGTGGGCTCAGGAAGGGAAGGAATGTGACTGAGGCCGGGTGTGGCTGAGGCGAGCACAGCCAGTTGTGGGTTTTGCTTGGGGCCCAGATAGACGTGAGCAGAGATGGAGGCCCCTCTCTCTCGGCCCCCACCACACACACTAGGACCTTTCTTCAGTGTGTGGCTGTGGAGCTGGAGGCCAAGGACACCCTCTGGAAATCTGAATTCCATTCGCTCTTGGCAGAGAGCAGCTTCCTGCTTGGGGAAGGTGTGCGTGTGCGCGCGTGTGCACATACGACCACGGGGGGCTGGCAGCAGGAGGGGCACGCGGGGGGCGGGGTGTCTGACGGGACGTGTAAGGTGACCCCCGTGTTTCCCGGCACTGGATGGCACTTGCAAAGCCTGTCCCGAGGAGTTAAGACAGATACCTGGAGTGAATGAATCAGAAACGTGCGGGCTGCGTGGCCTCTGAAATAATCTCTGGCTTAAAACAGTCATGGCTAAACATGCCTTTGAATTTGAAAGCCAGGACTTTTTGCAAAATAATTCAAAAAGTTTGTTGAACCTTAAACCTTCCCTGACGATTCCTTCCTTCTGAAGTTAACTCGTTAAAGTTGCTCCAATCCCAGCCTGGTGCCAGACCAGCTTCCTGGAAGCCCTCGCCAACTGCTGGCCTTTGGAAAGGCTTGTCACCCTAATAGCTGTAAAAAAAAAAAAAAAAAAATCGCTCGTTGGGCACCTTGGCTGCAGCGTCTGAAAAGTCCTTTGTGTTCGCTCCAGCTGCAGAGTTTTCCAGGCCTCGCTTGTGGGGCTGACTGGAGCTGTTTCTCTCCGTTTCCTCTTACAGTGGCGGGTGCTGGGCTGACTTCTTCCCGCCCAGCCTCCCCACGCCCAGGTGGGGGACGGGGATGCCCAGGGCAGAGCCCCTGCAGAGGCCGGACAGGCGTGGACCGGTCCCGAGTGGGTCAGCAGCCTCATCTTCCCCTCCGCCACCCGCCCCCCACCCCAGTGGGGGCAGCACCCCGCTGAGGAGTGCCCAGGGCCCCCTCCCGGGTCAACATTGTGTCACTTCCCCAGAGGACGCAGGTTCCAAGCAGCGCCCGGGCAGTGCCATTTCAGAAGCGGAGATCACTTGCTCCTCCCCAAAGCCAGGTTTTGGCAAAATAGAAAAGCACGGTGGTGAGATAGGGTACACGTTCCAGCCTGTTGTTGTTGTTGTTTCTTTTTTTTTTTTAAGTTTAAAACGTGAATATGCATTAGGAAATACTGAAATGAACCCAGCTGTGGGGCAGATCAATTGAAAAATACGTTGTGTTGTCGTCATTGCTGCGTGAATCAAAATCAAATATTACCTGAAGATGGAAACGAGCTACCTAAAAACTCAAGTATTTTCGTGGGACGCAGCGGTCAGAACATGCCATACACGTACACGTTGGTTTCTTGAAAGAATCGCTCCTCTCCGAACCCCGTAGTGACAGCGCATGCAGCAGCTCATTTCCTAGGAGAGCCTGTTGGTCTGCAGAGGGGTGGAGGGCACCCCTTCCCACTGGAGTGGGGGTGGGCTCCCTGGGAGCCTGCCCAGGGTCTGCTCTCGCTCTGGTTCTGCCTTCCGCTGTCAAAAACCTCTTTGTGCCGGAGCAGCCCCTGTTCCTCGGAGTGACATGAACCAGAGCCCACAGCACCATGCGGTGGAGCTGCCTCTCGCCAGCCGCCCCAGCCCCCGGCGGAGGCTGCCCGTTCACAGTCTGGCAGAGCGTCCGCATGCTCTGCGGCGCCCCGTGCTTTACCTCCTGCGATCTTGCGCAACAAGTAATCATAATATTAAAGTAGGCTTTACACACACGCGGCAAAACAAATTCAGAGCACAGAGGGGGTTATGGTGAAAACATCAGGCTGTCCCCACCCCAACCCCGGATTCCTGTGTTTCCTTCCCTAAAGGTTAGCACTGTTGGCGGTTTCCGATCTATTTCTCCCCCGTGTTTTATACAAGCAAGTGTGTCTCTGCG